GAAGTGAGGTTCTTACCCACGAAAGCTTATGCTCCCAATACTTCTGTTAGTCTCAAAGGTGCCACAGGACCCTCTGTTGCTTTTTACAGTGAAGACATGTTGATTGTTTTGAAATAATAGGGAATTTATGGCCCAGGTGTACTACGAATCTAACTGTACTAGTTTGTGCTTAGCAGCATCTGTGTTGCAGGATGTTCGACCCTTTTAGGCTGTGACATGATTCCTAGCATGGGTTTAGAACTGCCAAAGCCGTGTTACAATGTAGGTGCCCTATCCATGCCAGAGGAGTATTACTGGCTTGGCTAGACTAGGAATGTAGATAGTTCCTCAAGACAGACTATTAATAATGGAGCAGGATTTTTCCTCTTATTCTGGGGGGGGAAATCCCAGGTGCATTTTACACCTTCTCCAAAAGACCTCTGTGCCAGCCTCCCTGCAAGTGCCTCTGCTCCACTTTAGTGGATCCAAAATGCACCTGCCTGATTTTTAGCTTGTACTAGTTCTACAGACTGATCACTTTGGTGCTGATCTCTTTGAATCAGTCAATGCATCACTTACATTTCTGTCTAAAATAGAAACAGGTTCCTTGGTAGCCTCTGCCTTAGCCCCGCTATCCAGTTTTCAGATCAGATAGCAACTTCCACATCTCCTGCGGCTCTCGGCTTACTTCAAGCTTGGCACAGAACCCACTGCCCCTTCCACCTGTAAACGCTCCACCTCGACAACAGGAAGCTGTATGTTTCTGAACCTAGCGGATAGCTGAGCCTGTTTCTGATCACGGCTGTTCTTGAAGGCAGATGTTCTGTCCCTGGGCTTGTACTGTGTTCTGAGGGCTTCTTTGCTGTTCCTCTGCAGAGCATTGTCTCGAAGAACTCCATGCAGTACCGAGGGAACTCGCAGCACGATGCACAGGAATTTCTGCTCTGGCTGTTAGACAGAGTTCATGAAGACCTGAACAATTTAGTGAAATACAATGGCAGACCTCCATTGAAGGTAAGGTAAATCCAGCACAGGCCAACAGGGAGGGGGTGTGTGTGTATACATGTGTATATATAGATTAATTGTTCCATGGAAGCTTTCCATTTGAAACAAAATATTTCTGTATTAGCTTCCCAGTATGGCTGTCAAGTGATTAAAAAAAATCATTTGCGATTAATTGCACTGTTAAACAATAAGCGTACTATTTATTTAAATATTTTTGATGTTTTCTACATTTTCAAATATATTGATTTCAATTACAACACAGAATACAAAGTGTACAGTGCTCACTTTATATTTATTTTTTATTACAAATATTTGCACTGTAAAAAACAAAAGAAATAGTATTTTTCAATTCACCTAATACAAGAACTGTAGTGCAATCTCTTTATCATGAAAGTTGAATTTACAAATGTAGAATTATGTACAAAAACCCCTGCATTCAAAAATAAAACAATGTAAAACTTTAGAGCCTACAAGTCCACTCAATCCTACTTCTTGTTCAGCCAGTTGCTAAGACAAACAAGTTTGTTTACATTTTCAGGAGATAATGCTGCCCTCTTCTTATTTACAATGTCACCTGAAAGTGAGAAGAGGTGTTCGTATGGCACTGTTGTAGCCGGTGTCGCAAGATATTTACATGCCAGATGCGGTAAAGATTCATATTGTATTTCATGCTTCAACCCCCATTCCAGAGGGCATGCCTCGGTGCTGATGATGGGTTCTGCTCAATAACGATCCAAAGCAGTGCGGACCGATGCGTGTTCATTTTCATCATCTGGTCAGATGCCACCAGCAGAAAGTTGATTTTCTTTTTTGGTAGTTCGAGTTCTGTAGTTTCTGCATCAGTGTTGCTCTTTTAAGACTTCTGAAAGCATGCTCCACACCTCATCCCTCTCAGATTTTGGAAGGCACTTCAGATTTTTAAACCTTGGGTCGAGTGCTGTAGCTAGCTTTAGAACTCTCACATTGGTACCTTCTTTGTGTTTTGTCAAATCTGCAGAGAAAGTGTTCTTAAAACGAACAACATGTGCTGGGTCATCATCCGAGACTGCTATAACATGAAGTATATAGCAGAATGCAAGTAAAACAGAGCAGAAGACACAATTCTCCCCCCGAGGAGTTCAGTCACAAATTTAATGAATGCATTATTTTTTTAATGAGCATCAGCATAGAAGCATGTCCTCTGGAATGGTGCTGAAGCATGAAGGAGCATACGAATGTTTAGCATATCTGGCACGTAAATACCTTGCAATGCGGCTACAAACGGGCCATGCAAATGCCTGTTCTCACTTTCAGGTGACATTGTAAATAAGACGAGGGCAGCATTATCTACTGTAAACGTAAACAAACTTTTGTCTTAGCGATTGGCTGAAGAAGAAGTAGGACTGCATGGACTTGTAGGCTCTGAAGTTTTACAGTGTTTTGTTTTTGAGGGCAGTTATGTAACAAAAATCTACATTTGTAAGTTGCACTTTCATAATAGAGATTGCACTATAGTACTTGTATGAGCCGAATTGAAAAATACTATTTTATTTTTACAGTGTGAATATTTGTAATAATTATATAAAGTGAGTACTGTACATTTCATATTCTGTTCTAATTGAAATCAATATATTTAAAAATATAGAAAAACGTCCACAAATATTCAATAAATGTCAATTGGTATTCTGTTTAACAGTGCGATTGGGGCCAGAGGGCTGTTCCTGGCCCCTGTGACTGCAAAGAGCGTCTCAATCAATGCGTGGCAAGTGTGCACCAGCACAACCCAGTGTGAATGGTGACACCTGACTCTGCCACCCGTTAAGTTTGGCAGCTTAATGATGTGCCAGCTATATTCAGCAAAGATGGCTGCCCAGGTGCTCTAGTCCCCTCTGTGGACCACCCACAGGAGCTGAAAGCACTTGCAATTTCAAATACTTGGCTTTGTCCTGGTGTGTTTAGCTCGGGAGAACCTAACTTGGCTCTTCCCCATTTAGCTGTATGTGATTGGTGTGGCACTCCTGCGTATCCTGACATGCCTCCCTTTGGAATTGCTTTTCCTTTTCAGCCACCGTTGGAAGATGCTGCGCTGCTCGAGGTACCAGGCTTTCCAATCAGTAGCACTTTCATACAGGAACTCTTTCAAGCCCAGTACAGGTACAGTAACTTTCAGCACACTCAGATTATGGGGGTTTATGTGCATGGTTTTTATAACCACAATAAAATTCTTTAATCCCTGGTGGCAGAGCCCGGTGCAATGCAGCAGGGCTGTGTGTGGTCCGGGGGCAGAGAGGCGGCGGGCAATTAACCCTCTGCAGCCCTCCATTTTGTTTACAGTGCTGCTGTGTCTCCATGCCCCCCTTGGTCAGACTCCCTTAGTGGTTGTCTCTCTCACTTTGGTGAATGAAATCTGGCCTAAGAGATCTTGCTCCAAAGGGGAGTAACGGCCAGTTTTATTGCACTAAAATTCTTTGTCACTTCAGTGGAAAATCTACACTTGTTTCCCTCTTGTCAGTAAATCAGGAGTGTTTGTTTCAGCCTTCACCCCCAACCTGAGTCCCCACGGCGTTTCCAGCCCAATTGGTCAGGGAGCAAAGCTGTGGAACATGATTTCGCATGTCTGACAGCTGCCTGGGTTGTGCCAAGTCAGGAGCCTGGGGCATGAACTGGAGGCATGTGGTGGCTGCTTGAGTTTAGAATCCCACACAAGCTTGTAGTCATTATCATTAAGCTAATGAGGAACCCTCTAGCAGAAAAGAAATTCTGCTCTCAGGGCCGGCTCTAACTTTTTTGCCACCCTAAGCAGCAAAAAAAAGCGCTGCCCCACCGTCACACGTGCACGTGCGCTCACACACACACACCCCTCCAGCGCCGCCCTGCCCCACCGAAACCGCCGAGTGGCACACCGCCGAACAGCCCCCGCCACGATGCTGAACACCCCCCACAGAGCGCCGCGCTGTGCTGCCGAACACCCCCGCCCCCCGCGGAGCGCCGCGCTGTGCTGCCGAACACCCCCGCGGAGCGCCGCACTGTTGAAGCACTCCCCTGCGCGGAGCGCCGCCGAAAACCCCTGCGAAGCGCCACACTGCCAAACACCCTCGCCTCCCTGCGGAGCGCTGCGCCGCCGGAACACCCTCCCTGAGTGCCGTGCCACGCTGCCCCCCGCCACCCTGAGATTGGCTGCCCCTTACCAGGTGCCGCCCCAAGCACGTGCTTGGTTGGCTGGTGCCTGGAGCTGGCCCTGTCTGCGCTTAGTTCTTCACTGCCCCTTTGTTCATGGGAATTACCCCAGCTTTCCACCTGGGACCTGAAATTGGGGAAAAAAACAGGCCAACTTCCAAACTCACCCAGCAGCACTGCAGCCGGTCTGGTGTAAGAGATTGCGTGGTCAGTCTTCTCAGTATGTCACTGAGGCTCCCCAGTGGCAAAGAAATAAACTTTGGGATGTTACAGAATCCTGAGCAAGACTTAGAGTGACCCTATGGCTTGTTAATTTGGGATATGAAATACTCAGGGTGTGCGTGTGTATGTGAGGAGTCTCCTTTCTTTCTGAGTGAATGAGATTGAGGCCCATGCAGTGCTGTCTGCATAACCATCCCCTCGCCCACATGTCTGGGGGAGAATAGTCCTTGTCAGTCTCTTTAGATTAGAATCAAATGTGGGCAAATTGTTAATTTCACAAATGTCTCTTAGTGGAGGCAAAGTGGAATAATAGAGAGGAGCCTGTTTTCCTGGCATGCCCTGTAATAAATGAGCTCAGAGACTAATTACTGTGTGAGCATCTGGGAATTAGGCGCCTTTCATTTACAGCAAGGGTTTGTCTGCAAAAACGCTGTGCAGAGCCTTGCTGGAGTGTGTGGGGGGAAGGGGTTTGATCAGGAGGGAAGAGCAGGGTCGCTGTTTGTTTCTTGATGGTTTGCTTGTCCCTAGTTAAATGAGAGATGTAACTTTACCCCTATTGATATTTTTAATAGGTCCTCTCTGACGTGCCCTCATTGTCAGAAGCAGAGTAACACCTTTGACCCTTTCCTCTGCATCTCTCTGCCAATTCCTCTGCCTCATACACGGTAATGTGCTAATCTGTGCCTTGAAGTTAAAATTTTGGGTGTCTTTCCCACTGCTTGGTAGCATTGCAAATCTTAATCTAGAAGAGATTGAGACGCCAACAAGCTTTGTGGCAGATTGGGGTTGAATTGATGGGCCAGTAGAGCTGTATTCTGAAGGGAGCCCCCAAACAGCGCTGAAAAGATGAGCTGTGCAGGAACTAGATTTCTTATTTCTCAGAATTCCATAAATCTAAAAGTTTTTCCTATACAAAACAGAATGAAAAGATGGAAAATTTCCTACAAAACTTAGTTTCAAAATTTCATTTTGGGTTAGTTTTTTTTGGTTCCAATTTTGATTTTTTTTTTTAAATTGTTCTCCAGGTTCACCAAGTGTAGGAGAAGAAGTAATGAGCTGAGTTTGCAGCAAGAGAGAGATTTAAGTTGGATATTAAGAAAAACTTTCTAACTATAAGGCTAGTTAAGCATTGGAATAGGTTACCTAGGGCAGCTGTAGAATCCCGGTCATTGGAGGTTTTTAAAACCAGGTTGAACAAACACCTGCCAGAGATGGCCTAGATTGACTTGGTCCTGCCTCAGTGCAGGGGATGGGCCAGACGACCTCTCAACGTCTTTTCCAGCCCGACGTTTCTTTGATTCTAGAATATAATTTTTTTTAAAAATGTGAACAGAAAATTGGAAATATTTGGTTGCAGAAAGGCCATTTTGCTATTGACAAATTGGCTTTTGCCAATGGGAAAACTTTCTGTGGGAAAATTTCCAACCAGCTGTAGAAAAGAGGCTGCAAAAATGCTTCCACTCTTCCCCTTCTCTTTAACCCAGTGGGTTTTCCCAGCAGCACCTCTTTGAGAGTGACTTTAGGATGTCAGTTTTGATAGATCTGGGCCATGTTACAAGGATCCTTGAGGTAAAATTAGGATTGCCCTTCAATCAAGAGGTCATCTAGGGTGGCCTCATTGAGGAACTGTATTTTGTGATTCCACTTTCTTGGGAGGACTCCCCAGTTAGTGCGTAGAGTAGAGGGCTAGCACCATAGGGAACATACCTCTAACTTGGAGCCAGATAGGTGTCTGTCCCTCCTGTATTTTAAAGGTCTGGTAAACATTTGGGACTCCAAAGCATCTGCTTGGTGGGCCTGATTGCCTGAATAGCTCCAGGGTAACGTGGCCCAGAATGGTCATGTATGACTTCATTACTGATGATGCAACCAGCCTCTTTAGGAGCTCTGTGTGGGAACTAGGCTTGGGTCGCGACCCAAGGACTGAGTGAGATCCTTGCACCATTTTTCCATCCCTAAATGGCCTGGAGGTTGTCATAACAACCAGATCAGAAATGGTCTGTATTCTTATGATGTGTGCAATGTAAAAGTCCCCATTCAGGGTTCTGCTGCCTGCTTTGTTGATCCGACCAAGCTTAGCTCAGGCTGAGTTCTTCTAGGTACTGTATAGAAATGTTCAGCCATCCCACTTCTTCCCTGTACTCTCTGCAGACCTCTGTATATCACTGTGGTGTATCAAGGGAAGTGTTCGCATTGCATGCGCATCGGTGTGGCAGTGCCTCTGTCTGGAACAGTGGCGAAGTTGCGCGAAGCAGTATCCATGGAAACCAAGATACCCACTGAGCAGGTAATGGGCTGGTCTTTGGTCACCGTGGTGCCACTGGTGTCCTGCAGGAGTTCTGATGTGTTTTTTCTAGTTGATATGGCAGGTAACAATGGACGCTCGGGTTCAGATCAGTGGACCTAAATTTGTGGAGGAAATGAGTGACTGCAGAAACTAGCCTGAACTCATTGTCTCTTGCGTGTAACTCTCACAGGAATCGGGTTGGCTGCCTGTAGGTTATACCAGATCCCTGCTCAGGCCTCCAGGCTGCATTGCTGCTTCTGCTCCTTTTTGCTCTATTACTTGAGGAAGGGAAAGCCTGGTGCTTCTGCCTATCAGCCCTACAGTGACGGTGTGTGCACGGGTGTACTCTGCTCACTATTGAGAAATCAGCAGGGGCTCATGGGAAATGTCCTGGAGTTTTGAGATTCTTAGGGGAAAACTACTAAAATGACACTCGAAGGGTCCCATGTATTCCCTTGATCCCAGCTGCTCCCTCATGGCCAGACCCTCCCCCATTTCTCCTCATTGGCTGGTACTGTAAGACTGGAGAATTCCCATCCTCCGTCAGGAACACTTCAGCAAAAGTCCATTCGTTAACTTCTCTCCCCATCCCGGGAGCTTGGCAGCTCAGCAGTGGCCAGCACTGATGGTCTAATGGCTGCTGTTCCATTTCTGCCTTGTAGATTGTGCTGACGGAGATGTACTACGATGGGTTCCATCGCTCCTTCTGTGACACTGATGACCTGGACACACTTCAGGACAGTGACTGCATTTTTGCCTTTGAGACCCCTGAGATATTTAGGCCTGAGGGGATCCTTAGTCAGAGAGGTAAGTGGGTAGGTCTTCTAAACACCCCTTCCCACCCCAACTCCATCCCTACTGGAGTATTGGCTATGGGGAATTTGTTTGAAAAGGGGGCATTTGGTTATATATGTCCTAGGCCTAGAGAGGAACGTGGCGTGTCTCCTGGTCTGCTGACTCTGAATCGAGCTCTGCTTCCATGGGCTGGCGTTCCAGACCTAGATGGCTTACCTTGGAACCTGGCATCACCAGACCTTGTGGCGGAGGGGTGGTGCAGAGCAACCTGTTACAGTACAGGGCAGCTGCACCTGTATTTCTCCTTAGTGGTCCAGCAAGGGCACTCAGGCTTCCAGCTCCCCAGCTGGTGCCTCTCTTGAGTGGCGACGTGTCCCTCTCCTTCTCCTTCTGACCTGGTATCTCCAGGCTGCACAGTTTCCTGCCTTCACGGTATACTTCCCAGCACGATAAGTTGTTCAAGAACACCTGCATGCTTTCTCTTTAGAGATGGATAACAAGTGTAATTGCTACAGATTTGTTACCACACAGACTTCCCAAGCAAGCCTACTTTATTCTACTGGTAAACAGCATTGAGGAGAAGACCTATTAAAAACAATAAAAGCACCTACAGACATGCTTTTAAGTGTACTAAGACTCCCAAGCCTTATATGGATTGTGGCAGGATAAGTCCATCAATACCCCTCCCTAGGAGAGTTCTTGGTTACCAGTTCATCACAGCTTCAGCTCAGAACGAGCACACTCATAACATGTTCAGTTCACGCATTATACAGTTCAGGGGTCTTTGATCTGGAGTTTCCAGAAGCAAGTAATTGGTACAAATCGAGCCTCTCTTCAGGAGGTTGGCATTCCCCTCACCTCCAGGTACTTCCTAGGAAATCCACTTCCCGCATGTTGCAAAAAGATCTTTGATGGTCCTAGTACCTTTCAGAGACCGCATTAATCCTGTCTTCCTGCTAAAGAAGTTCCATACAATTTCATGATAGTAAATAAACACTTGCATTTCTAATGCAGTGTACCCCAGAGGTATTAACCATAATTCAATAAGGTGTAACTAATTAATTAAAGCTCATTCAGGATATTGTCAGTCTGTCACATCTCTCCCCCTACAGAAGTGGGTGTAATGCGGGTGCTGACCGACATTCTAGGGAAACACATTGACTGAATGCCTGGATGGCAGCTGTGCCACTAGTTCTGTTTTACATTTCACCTATTCAGATAACAAACCTTCTGCTAGCAAACCAGCATACATCCTTCAAAAACATGTATGGCATTGTCTGTCCAACACCGTACATAATTTTCTACTTTAAACCTATGGGACTGAGCTTTCAGAAGCATCTTCTTGCCCTGTTACCCCAAATTCTTGGATGGAAACTTGAGACCTGATTCTCCCACTTCTCATGCAGTTTCTAGAGAGCATGTGTCTTGTTCTGTGGTGCCCTAAGGGGTCAGTTGCTTCAGTTCTGGATTGAGGTTCCCTACTTCCCACCATCCAGGAGTTTTACAAGCAGCCATTCTTTGGACCAGGGAGAGAAATAGTTCTGCAGTGGCTCTCAACAATGCACTGCTTTTAACAGGAAAAGTCAAGCCAAGGGGGTGTCTTCAAACCTCCTCCATAGCCAGATTCCTTTCTCTGCCCCACTTCCCCTGAATTTGGGCTCTAGGGACTCCCGTGGCCCCACCTTAGCTCCTCTGGGTTCAGGCGATGAAATATTGATCCCCACACCATTGGTTCCTTTTGTCCACCCCCTTCACCCCCACTGAGTCAAGGTGAGCAGAATTCCCTCTCCCACCTGGTTCAGGATCCTTCACCATCTCCCCAGGAGCTGTCTTACCCTGTACTTGTGCATTTCCCAACCTGGGGTAGATGTGTCAGTGCACTGCAGCTGCCTGTCTCCCTACTTCTGGCTTGAGACACTGCCACCATCAGGCTCTGTTCTGCCCCGGGGTCCCTTTGAGGGGCTGGCAGAGAACTTCATTTCCTGATCTGCGTTTTAGGGCCCAGTTAATTTCCCTTGAAGTCAGTAGGTGTCGTCCCTTCTCCTGAGCAACAAGCACTCTCATCCCCTCGCCTCTCAGTCTGCATGCTTTGGGGATGTAACCGGACTCCTCTTGGACACGGGCAGTGGAAATGTGATGCCCCTTCCCCCTGTCAGCTACTCTCTTTGCATTTTTGCTCTCATGCCCTCTGCCTGTCCTTGCCTGTCTGAGGCTAACTGAGGACTTGTCTACACTACAAAATGAAGTTGACTTACAGCCACCACAGTAATTAAAGCTCCTTCTTGTGCCTTCTGTCGGTGGTGCGCATCCTCACCAGAGCACATCCAATCTGCCAACTGAAGTGGGGCATTGTGGGACACTGACCGCTGGAGCCTGGGTGCCCTGCCCTCTGCCGTGCTTCTGACAGCCGGGGCCCTTCCTTCTGCTCCGGTGCTGACAGGGTGAGCTCAGGCTGTCAGCCCCATTAATTTGCAGGTCTCATTGACCATGGTCACCCCACAACCAGCTCCCCATTTCCTTACGTAACTCCTCATTTGAGTTGAAACTTCGGCATAGATCATGTCCCTTTTGTTCTAAACTCCCTGAAACCTCCTGTATGTTTCGGGGGTCAGTTTAAACTTTTGTAACAAAGCTTGTTAACTGTTATCTTTATAGTTCTCACTTCCCGTAAGGGTAAAAATGGCCAAGGCCTTTGTCCCAGACAGCGGTGGAGCAAGGTACCTTACCATGTCCCTTTTTCCCCGCTTTATTCAGCTAGCACCCCCGTTCAAAAGCATGTTGGAACACACCCCTATCATTCCCCTACCTAAAGCGAGGTACACCGCCCATCCGGACAGGAACTGGGGACTGGTTCCGACAACTGTTCTGCTGTTGCAGTCTCTCTATCTGGAGCTAGCAGTGCTGCTGCTTGTCTTCTTCACCCTCATACAGACACTGCTGCTCCTGGTCTGCAAGCTGTTGGGTTTCCAGACGCACTCTGTCCCGCTCCAACTGCAGCTTCTCCTGCTCCAGCTAGTGAGCTGTCACCACTCCTGTTCCAGTGGTGGGCTTGGCCTGGATGGAACATAGTTGTGCCTCTGTCTCTTCCCTGCAGGGCTCTCCATCTGCTGGATCCTCCTCCAGCAGCCTGGAGGTTTTCTGAACCATCATTCCTCAGCTGGTCATTAGAAGACAACAAATTGATTAGTTAGACAAAGCAGCTCTGAAAGCATTTCTCTGTATAACTCAACCAGTCCATTTTTCTTCAGCTGTTCATAATTCGTTTTCCCCTGTCTTTTTGCTATTTCTTTTCACTACTGAGACAGTTGTCTCTCTGCTTTTCCTTCTTCAGTACTTGCTTTTACTGCTGTTGGCACTTGTGCAATTCAGATTGTTACAGATTCCAAATACACTGTTATCGTATATGTTACAGTTCAGGGCACCTGCCCCTGTATTTCCTGTTAGTGGCCCAGCAAGGGCACTCACTCTCTGGCAACAGCTGGGGGGCTGGAAGCACAAAAGTGGGTGCACCTTTTGGGATGCTAAAGGGATAGTGGCAGTTGTCCTGAACTCTGACACAACCCAAGAAGCTAAAATTTTGCTATGAAAATCAGATTTTGGTGATGTTTCAGGAATAAACAAAATGTGCCCCTCTCTTTCTAAGGCCCTTGGGCCCCTGTTCTCTCCCTGACTAGGTAACTCTCATTCAGGTCAATAGGAGTACCACCCTGACAGTTAAGAACTTTTTCCTAATGTCCAACCTAGACCTCCCTTGCTGCAGTTTAAGCCCATTGCTGCTTGTTCTATCCTTAGAGGCTAAGGTGAACAAGTTTTCTCCCTCCTCCTTCTGACACCCTTTTAGATACCTGAAAACTGCTATCATGTCCCCTCTGTCTTCTCTTTTCCAAACTAAACAAACCCAATTCTTTCAGCCTTCCTTCATAGGTCATGTTCTCAAGATCTTTAATCATTCTTGTTGCTCTTCTTTGGACCTTTCCAATTTCTCCACATCTTTTTTAAAATGCGGTGCCCAGAACTGGACACAATACTCCAGCTGAGGCCTAACCAGAGCAGAGTAGAGCGGAAGAATGACTTCTCGTGTCTTGCTCACAACACACCTGTTAATACATCCCAGAATCATGTTTGCTTTTTTTTTGTTTCAGGTCAAACAAAATTTTGTATTTTGATTACGTCAAAACATTTCATTCACCCTGTAATGAAACATT